CGCCTCCATCTTCAAGGTCCAAAAATAAGCGAAGCAAGAAAGAAGCCTGAAACCAGATGCCACCTGGTTTCTTGTTACATCCCTGAAGATGGAACTCAATATGACCATTATCTTTAGGACATAAAGGGAAAGGGGAGTGCATATAGGATTTTGGTGGGAAAGACAGAAGGAAAGAGACTATTAACAAGACCAAGCGCAGTTACGTGAATAATATTAAAATTGATCTTAGAGAGATAGGATGGGATGGTATGAACTGTATTGATCTGGCCCAGGATAGGGACCAGTGGGGGCTCTTGCAACACTGTAAGGAACCATCAGGTTCCATAAAATGTTGGGAAATTCTTGAGTGGCTGAGCGACTGGCGGCTTCTCCTCAAGAAGGGCCCAACTCATTGGAGTTAAGTTAGTTGCGTTATGGAATGGAGGCATAAGATGGCTGTCTACAGAGTTCGTTGTAAACCTCAATAAAATCAAAAGAAAATCGATAAAAGGTCAATATTAATTTTTATTTTCATTATTTTTATGGCTACATATTTTGATCACGTATGCCATCATTGCAGCCAACCTTAAATTTTAGTTTGTATGATTTTAGCATTTCAATAATTCATCTTATGACATGTTTTCATGTTTAAAATTAATTCAATTTTGATTTGCAATTCAATGATCATTTAATTCAATGATGATAACAATGATGTGTGTGATCGTAGTGTTAGCAGTAACAATAATGACAATTATTACTGACCTTTCATTAAGTAGCGCCAAGTAGCAAGCAAAGTTTCACCCGACTATACGGCGTAATATCCCAAGAGACAACAACCTTCATAGTTAAGACCTAAAATGTCTCGTCTTAAGGCATTTATCCTGCCTCCAAAGGATAACAACGCTTACTACTTGCCCCATGCTTGTTTCTTGCTTAGCTTACATAAACTTAAAATCTGAAGATGAAGGTGAAATGTTCCTTCGAAACGCCCGTTGCCTTTCAACGGACTACACGCAGTTATACCCTAGAAGATATAAGTCTTCAACTCTACTTTATGATTATAGCAATTTTGAGGTTCAACGGTAGAAGGATACTAGTGTTTCAGAGGAACTCGCTATTTCCATCTTCAGGGCAGATTACTTAGAAACTTAGATAACTATCTACCAATCTACACGGCTTCAAATACTATAACGCCATAATATTAATATTCGCCGTAGGAAAAAATACTCAAATCTCATATAGTATACCTAATTACTTTATTCTGTGTGATGTATCTCCAGGGAAAAAAAACACATACATCACTGTCCTACATTGATTGATTGGTTCTGCAGTTTTCTGTCTAGAATTTTGTTGATTCGGTTACGGTGACGATGATGGAATACTCTTCATGGGAGGGGTAGTGGAAGGGAAGGTTTTGTCTGGGTTTAAAATTTGAACCACATGTTAACGTGGAAACACACTCAAAAACCGTGACAGATATTTTACTTAAAATAGCTGTTCTCTGTGATCGATCGAAACCCGTCCGAAACGAAAATCAGATTTGTCTGAACCTTCTGGACTAACTGGTGTGAACAGCCGACAGATGTCCTCATTATCTTCGTCTTCAAACAGAGATCAAAAATTGGTAGTCTGATTATTTCGCATTTGGAAGTCACGCAACATCAACAGATGTAATGAAGTTTACTTATCCTTAGTTTTATTTATTTTTAGGTTGTTTATTTAACGACGCTGTCGTTATCGATACTACATAGCGTCCATGAAGGGATTATTAATGTATGTGGGGTAGTTGATGAAACGAGAAATGGCAGGGGAAATTGAAATACAGGAAACCCTCGCTAATCCGGAGTAATTTAAAGGGAAAGGCCATCCGGATTAATTGATAATCTGGATTAGTGAAGCAGAAGGTAACCCTAAAAGACAAAAAATGCTTAGTACAAGAATAAATGAAAAATTAATTACATAAATAGTGCTGATGAAAATAAGTGACAAAATATCACTGCACAGCATTTATTTATCAACTATTAAAAGACTTTACCTTTATTCACCGATAGAAGGCTCAGAAGTTTTGCTTGTTTTTGAACGTAATAATTTCGGCTTGAAGAAACTGTAAAGATTATGTGAACAGACAAGTGACTCATCTGCCTTCCTAAATACCATGCATCTTTTAAAATATATACTTAACTATGAACAATATTTTTCATATGAGTATTTCGATCCCGATTAGCGAGGATTTACTGTACTCAGATGAAACTGGCTCTAGTGCTAATTTGTTCCCCACAAATCCCATACGAACTGATCTGGGATCTAACCCGAGCCACTGCGGTGGGAAGCAAATGCCCAACCCTCTGAGTGACTGAATGACCTGTTTCAATAAGGCGCTTTGATCATTAAAGTAAGGCGCATTTAACTGTACAAGTTTTTGGAGCGGATCCAAAATAACGGAGAATTAATATTTTTTCGCGTTCGTAAAGAAAAGTTGCAAAAAATGCACGTATTAGTTCCTTACATAACAACTCGGAACCGTTCAAAACGTTTTCATGAAATTTGGTATTGGAGACTTCAACTAAATTTCATCTGTATATTCCAATTTTATTTAAAACCGGACAACAATAACGGAATCTATGCGTGAAGATTTGCATGCGTTTCTATGCGTAACTCGTCAATATTGTGACGTGATAGAGTGAGTATAGCCGGGTTTCGATTGGTAATAGGATTTATTGTAACTACAGATAACTCCGACACACTTCGAAGATTACATTAACTACATTAGACATAAAACATTCTCAGTCTCTCTGTCTTCACTAGCCCTTGCTTGGTAGCGGCTTCTAACCGCGGACGTTCTTCCATCTGCACTGGTTTTGCCGAACTGTCCCTGCCCTCAGCTATCAGCTTCTCACTTCTCACAACTGCTACTCTCAACTGACTCAACAGTGGACGTTCCTCTGCCCCAGGACACACGTCCTCGCAGGCTGGCGACCATCTCGCACAAATCTCCTACTCTTCCAAATGCATTCTCAAGACTTTCGCAAAATGGCAGCTGCTTCTCGTTATATAGCCCCGGAACGGGCCTCACAGAAACGTCTCCTACATCATTGTGTGTTTTCTCGTTGCCAGGGAAACGTGTTAACAGAGCTGTTCCGTAGCAACGGCTATTGTACTGTCGCCTGTTTACATAGCTGTTACTTGGAACTGGGTCTGCATGATACAACAATAATGAACTGACAACATCTGTAACTAATAAAATGAAAATTGATAAATTTGACCCTTCACTTAATTATGAATACGTATGGAGAGGTGGAGTTAAAACTCCATGCATTCTTAGCTTCAGCACTGCGTTGAGGGGAGTGGTCAGCTGCAAGATCCGGCATTTTATCCCGAGGAAGTAGTTCTCAGTACATACGACCAAACTGTGTTGGGGGGGGGGGGGACAGTGTCAGACGTAGCAGTCATGTACACTGTATGAACTCTGCTTCAGTTGCCCTTGCCCGCAATAATGTAGTGATGAAGGGTTCGTGTAACGTGTATCTCGAGAGGCGAGACACCGCGCTCTGGTGCACAGTTTTGCATCTCCAAGAACTGCCGACGTCAGCAAGTCTCTCTCTCCGCTGTTGAGGAGCTCCTTTGCTGCTAATGACAAGGCACAGTTGCTTTGTCAGCTTCGTACGTGCAGAGTGTCTGGTGCGCATGCGTGTCTGCGGGCCACTAATTAAGAGCTTGAAAGTCGCGATTTGGAGTGCAGTTGAGGGAGTTTAGACCTATTTAAGAATGTTCTCTTCTTTGTAGAAGACTGCACTCTCAGAGAGTCAAAGTACGTACCTAAAGGAAAATTACTGACTCTTCGTATGTCACACCGCATATTTCTGCAGATAGCAACGTTTCTCCTGCTACTATACCGAAGCCACGGAAAGATGTTCCATGGTTGGTGGGGATGATATCGTTCGAGTTTTCATAATATCTGCCTTCAAGACCTCTGTGGCCTATGTCAACCAGCCCAAGGCACTATCGGCGATTATCTAACACTCGGTTCGTATCTAGGGGTGTTATCGGCTAGCCAGTCCTAGACCTTGCTCTGAGGCGTTCGCTCTGATATTACCTCTAGATAGCATAAGTTCCCCTCTCTTTCCTAAAACCATAAAACTTTCTGAAAAGCATATTCAGTAAAAAAAAATACGTCTTATATCTTTCTCTTCAACTTCGGGCCGCAACGTGTTCGACGAGTTCCGCTCAAGATGCACTGAGGAGCGCGTGTTAAGTGTCCGCTGCTTTTTTTTCCGTTTCAACGAAGACGATATAATTTCAACCGGTTTTAGTGAAAATCACAAACATATTTCATGAAAATCCCTGAACACTTTGCTCTAGCTGTTACCTGCTGTCACATGGGCCCTGTGACCCTGTTTGTGAAATAACACCAATAAGCCTTATAGTATTCTCGGAGAGAACTTTCAAATCCACAGTCAGTGTCAGGTAAGGTAAATTTCTCCATGTGCTTAATTAATTAAGCACTGTGCCATGAAGATGTATGGGGAGTGGAGGTATAGCTCCAAAATTTTTACCTCGGCACTAGATGGAGCTGAGTGGTCAACTTCACGCCTCCGTAGGTTTATGCTCAGGGAAAGAGTCCCTAGTATCCAGTGGGTATGAGCATGGGTGAGCCCCAGGGCAGGTTTGGAAGCTGTGGAGAAGAGGAAAGTCTCTTGCCCTTGCTGCGAATTGAACCCCGGCCGTCCAGCCCGTAGCCCATAGGGGTAATACAATAAAAAATTAATAATAATAACAGTTTCATTAATATCAACAATACTGACACTAATAATAATAATAATAATAATAACAATAATAATACACTAAACCGGTTAGAGCCGGTGACGGTAGTCGAGCGTCCTAAGGCAAGCACTGTCTTCGACTAATCTGAAGCCGGGATCGTGGGTTCGAATCCCACACAAGGCATGGATGTTTGGTGTGCGTGTGCGTGTGTGTGTGTGTGTGTATACGTTTATTCTGTGTTTGTATTGTCCTGTTTACAGGTGGAGGCCTTGCGACGAGCTGATCACCCATTCAAGGCGTCCTACCGTCTGTAAAATGATCATGAAATTGAGAAATCAGCCCTACGCTCCAAACTGGAAGCGAGAGGAGAGAGAGAAAACGGTTAGAATTGAGAAGGATGTCGGATAATCCATATGGAAATATGAAAAATTATGTTCACAGTTGAGTACATAATTTAAGAGGCAGATTGGATTTAGAAGCGAGCGGGATTAGAGCAAGAGGACTTTCAGACTGTGCTGAGGGAAGCTGGAGAGACTGAAACCACACGATAAAATATCGCAAGATTGGCTTCAGTTAGATGGAGGCCATGGATTTCGGCTTCTGACAGACGAAGAAATTGCTGCAGTGATATTCCTATTTTATCGGTAATTTTCATCAGCACTACCTATATTATTACGTTTTTCATTAACTTGTTATCTAAGAGTTTTTGTATCTCTTTCGGCTAAATTTTGCTTCATTAATCCGGATTATCGCTTGATTAAAATGGCCTCCTCGCAATTAATCCGGATTAGCGAGGGCTTACTGCAATAAT